GGATGGTCTCGATCTCTTGACCTCGTGATCCACCCGCCTCGGCCTCCCAAAGTGCTGGGATTACAGGCTTGAGCCACCGCGCCCGGCCTAGAAATGGCCACATTTTAGAATCTTTCTCACAGAAACTCTGCAAATCAAGTATTATTACAACCAGTTTAGAGTTGAGTAATCTTAGAAAGAGTCAATTAACCACATGTTCAATATTACCTAGTTAGACAGCTGCTGAGGCAGGGTATGAATGCAGGCCTATTTGTCTTCAAAACACCCAATTAGCCGGGCATGGTGGCTTACGCCTGTAATCCCAGCACTTTGGGAGGCTGAGGCGGGGGGATCACCTGAAGTCAGGAGTTCGAGACCGCCCTGACCAATATGGTGAAACTCCGTCTTATAAAATAAAAAATAAAAAAACACCCAATGAGTACATTTCTGAACACATACCTTAAATTTTAATTGTTAGTAAGCCCCTTATTCCTAGTATTACCAGGATTTAGCCTAGAACCCTATTGGGCACCCCAGAGAGTGGACAAATGAAGCATTCTAATTAAATATGTTGGCCAGGTGTGGTAGCTCACGCCTGTAATCCCAGTACTTTGGAAGGCCAAGGCAGGGGGATCACATGAGGTCAGGAGTTTGAGACTGGTCTGGCCAACATGGCGAAACCCCGTCTCTACTAACAATACAAAAATTAGCCAGCCATGCTGGTGCACAGCTATAGTCCCAGCTACTCAGGGGGCTGAGGCAGGAGAATTGCATGAACCCAGGAGGCAGAGGTTGCAGTGAGCTGAGATCGCGCTGCTGCACTCCAGCCTGGGCAACAGAGCCAGACTCTTGTCAATAAATAAATAAATAATCAAATGTGCTATCTTTGAGCTCCTTCTCCTGACTAAGGTCTATGTCTTGGGCAATGATTCTTCCCTTACGGTCCTTACCTCTTTCATTTTATATTTATTTAGGTAATATTTACCCTGACCCTACTACATGAAGTCACAAGGATAAGGCACAGACAGAAAAAAAAAAAAAGCAGAAAAATCCTAAAGCAAATGAATACATAGAGATACAAGCTATATAAAAAATGTAGTACATTATAGGAATAAGGAGACACATAACGTATTTATCTTTAGCAACAGGACTGGTAATGTGGCAAGGTAGAAGCAGAAAATTAAAATAATTGTTTCAGATAATGCTGGAAATTCAGAGGGTTTAGTATATGTATTATCTATTTGTAAGCATTATCAACTCCCAGAGGAAAAAAAAAATCAGTATTAATAGGCTAGACTATTGATATATGAGGTTGAATAAAGGCCAGCATAAAAGTTTAGAAAGAAAATAGAACAAGATAATATTTTTTAAAACATGGTAAACAGAATTGGAAAAGCTAACTTGTGAAAAGAAAAACTAATAAAACTGACAAACTCAGCTTTTATTTCATTTTTTATTTAATTTATTATTTGAGACAGACTCTCCTTATGTTACCCAGGTTGATCTCATTTCCCAAGCTCAAGTGATCCACTTGCCTTAGCCTCCCACCAGCTGGGACTACAGATGTGCACCACTGCAGCCAGCAACAAACTCAGCAATTTTTTTTTCTTTTTTTCTTTTTTTAAGGCTAGTCAAGTGAAGCAGTGGGAATGGAGAAGGAACAAAGAAATCTGTAACTGGTTGTGATCAATTAGTTGTAAACACCGCTGCACTCGGACCAGCCAAACTCAGCAATTTTAAGAGCAACAGGGCAGACAAAAAAAAAAAAAGAACAATAATAAATCATAATTATAGATACCATAAGGAAAATATAGAAAAAATTTAAGGAATAAATATGAAAATGCACAGGTAATTAATGAATTTCTAGAAAGTAGTACAACTTTCCAGCTATGGTCTAAAACCTGATTACATCCAGTAATCAATGAAAAAAAAAATCAGCAGTTTAAAACATGATCAGGCCAGGTGCAGTGCAGCTCATGCCTGTAATTCCAGCACGTTGGCAGGCAGACAGCCCATGACTTCGAGACCTGCCCAGGCAACACAGCGAGACTCCTTTATACTAAAAAGAAATAGAAATAAATAAAGAAAAAAAAAACCCTACAGACACCTACAGCAAACATCCTATTTAATGGTGAAATGGTAGAAAAAATCCCTCTGGAATCAGAAACAAGACAAGGATGTAAATTATATGCTATTCTGTCGGACATTGTACTGGAGGTCCTGGCAAGTGCAGTAAGAAAATGAAAACAAATGGAAACTGCAAGGAATAAAAAGGGAAAAGATTGAAACGGACAGATGACCAAATCTTCTGTGTGAAATGTAATCAATCTGTAGATAAATGATTCAAATGTATCATTAATGATAAAATGCATCAGTTCACTTTTACTTGGATATAATGTATCAAACTGATGTCCACAGGCAGAGTATAAAATCCAGAGACCAAATAATATCTTTTTTTTTTTTTTGGAGACAGGGTCTTGCTCTGTTGCCCAGGCTGGAGTGCAGTGATAGGATCTCAGCTCACTGCAACCTCTGCCTCTCCAGTAGCTGGGAGCACAGGAGCACACCATCACACCCGGCTATTATTTTATTTTATTTTTTGTATAGAGGGGATCTTGCTATGTTGCCCAGGCTGGTCTCAAACTCCTGGGCTCAAGCGATCCGCCCGCCTCGGCAGCCCAAAGTGCTGGAATTACCGGCATGAACCACCGCGCCTGGCCCAAACACTATCTAATGTATAAAGAGGGGACAGGAGGGGACCGAGCCGAGGCAAATGTCACCCCGCGCTCACCGGACACGCCGCGATCCACAGATCTGCTCACAGAGAACGAGGCTGAGGCGCTTGTCCTTGAGACCCTTCGGGTGGAGATGCTCTTCCTTTCTGGAAAGAGCAAAAGATGCTTTCACAGGCTGATGAACTATGACACTGGTTCTCCAACTCTCGCGTGCATCAGAATCACCCCGATTTCTGGATCCAGATCAGAGTTCCCGATTCGGTGAGTTTGCAACGAGCCGCCGCCGCAGGGGCAGTTGACCCAGGCTCTCCGAGAAAGCACAGCGGCTGCGGGAGGCCCCAGGCGCGGGGTCTGGGCAGGGAGCGGCTGAGAGGCCGCCCTTAGACCGCCGATCCTCAGGCCGAGCCCTACGTCTCCCGCGGACCGGACCCGCGGCAGGCGGGGTGGGGCAGGGCAGGGCAGGGCAGGAAGCGGACCGAGGCAAAAATTTACGTCAGACGCTGGCGGAGTTGCTGATTGACATGGCTGCCGGCTCGCGCATGCGCAAACGCGGACTTCGGTTCCTAGTTCGGCACGACAGACGTCCTACGGGGCGGGGCCTGAGAGGCGGGACTTGAGGTCAAGGAGGTGGGGCGGGAAGGAGCAGGGACTGCTAAGGAGCGTGAAGACTGGTTCTAGCCGCAAGCGGTAGAGAAATCCTAGTTTCTTCATTATTGAGAGTAAACAGAAGAAACAGAACCTTGGACTGGGCTTGGCTGACTGTGGGCGAGGCGAGGCTGGAGCTACACCGGACCTAGGGGCGTGGCTTTCTAAATACTCCAAGGGGCGTGGCTAAAGGTGGAACCAGATTGGGGGCGGGACTTGGTTGAAATTCCTAGGGATCTGGGACGAGGGCTAGGGACGAGGGCTAGGGACGAGGCTTAAGTAACTAGGCCTGGGGCTGGGGCTAAGTTAGGGCTCCCAACAAGGTCCTCAGCTACCACGGATACAGGATGCTCATCAGTTGGGTTTATACCTATCCTCCATGTTGCTACAGCCCTGTACACAGGACACATATATTTTCAACTCTAATATGAAACAGACTCTCCTTTCCATTCACTCAGTCCTTTTGGGCCTTTCAGTTTTCCCTTTCATTGTTTTATTGATAACTTCTCCTGTAGAGGGAAGCCACTGGTAATTATTTATATCGAACCTTTTACCTGGAAACTTGCTGTCAGTTTATTATTTGGAACATCAAATATAAATTTTTTTATGCAAGTTTTCATTGTTTTAATATGTATAACTCATTTTTTTTTCTTTTTATGAGGCAATATCTCACTCTATCGCCCAGTCTGGAGTGCAGTTATGCGATCATGGCTCATTGCCGCCTTGACCGCCCTAGCCCAGGTGATTATCTCATCTCGGCCTCCCAAACAGCTGGGACTACAGACGCGTGTGACCACACCCTGCTAATTTTTTGTATTTTTACAGCCCAGACATCAAAGCTAGAAATGAAATATAC